TTTTTGAATTGGTGTAAGCTAAATACCTTATTAATGAATTTTTCCTTTAAACAAAGACTTAGTCTAAAGGAACTAAAATTGTAAAGAGTTCAAAATAAATTAAATGACAAAAATAGCACTAAAATTTATTGGGTTGCATGAAGAAGTATTATGGTTCTTCAGAGCACAAAAAGCTTCACTTTTAAGTGATGTTCAACTTTGCAGGATATCACGATGGTCAAAAGCATATTTCACGATATGCTTATACGTTGATGAGTGAGACAATTACATAGAAATTACAGAACAAGCCTTTCTAAATTCCTTCGACCTTCACTTTGTAATTAAGCCACTATTTCAGGGTCATTATTTGACAAAAATAAAGTTTTGAACAGTGAATTTTTAAAGAATTTGATGTTAAGAAGTAAGAAAAAGTTTTGAATTTGCGTATATAATATTTTATTTTGTGAATATGTGATTTAAAATGAGTATTTAAAATAAATTTTTTTTTGAAATAATGAGGGCCAAACATTGGCTAAGTTTATGTTAGACATACTGTCCGAGGGCACAACTTTTGAGATTTTTTTTATTATTTATAAAATCGTGTTTGGTATTGATTGAAAACTAAATTTTAATCCAAATCAAAGTTAACACTTAATTTTAATAACATATTTCATGGAATCCAATTTTATCAAAATTTACTAAAAAATCGATTTTAATATCCACCAAATAGGGGCAAAATCTCAATAAATTTGAAATTAGATAACATGCTGATTTTAAAAATTCTCCAACGATCGTACGCTAATCGAATCTACAAATTACTTATGTCATCTCGAATCTTATTTCGAGAACTACATTATGGACATATCGAATAGTCCAAACAGATATCGAAAATAGTTAAAAATACGTTAAACGTGAGTTTTAAAAAAGACGTCTAACTCGCATTTTTTTAAAAAAAAATTCAACTATTTATTAACATTTATTATTTTTGCGATACAAATTTCTCAATATAATTTTCATCATTTTATTAGGAAATTTTATATGAAATATGATATCAAAAATTTTCTAAATTTTAAATCTGAAAAAGTCATATCGTATGTAAATTTTTGAAATGTAAAATTATATAGGGTATGATTTTTTTGGACGTAAATTTTCGATTGTAAAATTTTTCCCAACTTCTTTGCAAGTTCGATTGTACCTCCTAACTTTTAAGGTCCGTGTCCGCCCCCGCTAACCAAGGGTACTTAGACCTTCGTCGTGTTGGATTCTTCTAGCGTGCTTGGTCAGTGGGAGCTTTATAAGTTCATTGGTTCAGTTATATTATGCAATAATTCTAATTAAAGATTGATTTATGGATTCATAATTATTGTATTTCTAGCACAAATTAATTTGTCATTGACATTATGTAATACAAATTTCTCGATGTAATTTTCATCATTTATTAGGAAATTTTATATGAAATATGACATCAAAAATTTTCGAAATTTTACATCCGAAAAAGTCATATCCCATGTAAATTTTCGAATGTAAAATTACATAGGGTATGATTTTTTTGGATGTAAAATTTCGATTGTAAAATTTCTCCCAACTTCTTTGCAAGTTCGATTGTGCCCTCTAACTTTTAAGGTTCACATCCGCCCCTGCTGACCAAGGGTACTTAGACCTTTGTGGTGTTGGATTCTTCTGACGTGCTTGGTCAGTGGGAGCTTTATAAGTTCATTGGTTCAGTTATATTATGCAATAATTCTAATTAAAGATTGATTTATGGATTCATAATTATTGTATTTCTAGCACAAATTAATTTGTCATTGACATTATGTGAGTGTTTGATGGGGATTAAAATTAGATTTTTAGTAGATTGTGATAGAAGTTTTTGAAATGTGTGGTTGAAAAGTTGTGTGACACATGAAAGATGTGGTTAATATTGATTGCTTGACTTTGATTTAAATTAAAATCTAATTTTAATCCGAAACAAACAAGGCCCTATGAAGTTGTTGTAGATTGAGTTGTAATATCTTGATTTCTACGTGGAAATGTCTCGAGTTGTTTGCATTGCAATATCACCCCCAAACTAGTTGTAACATATATTAAAATCCCCCCTCTAGCTTCTCAATCCATAATGTCTATAGCTTGATCTAGCTAAAATTTATGATACTTTGCATTTGCATTTTTCTTTTTTTCATAATTAAGTGAGGTCACAACTGGTTTCGAGTCCAGACTCTATCAGTTATAACCCATAAAATCGAGTATAATTTGTGGTAGCTAGTTATTAAATATTTTGTTTTCAACTTTTCCTTTTTTTTTTTTGTGTGATGTACTCCAAGTTGTAAAAGATAGTTCAATATTTACGTCATGATAATTCTCACCAAATGTACACGAATCATATTCTCATAATAAAATATGAGAAAAACTAGATTATCGATCCCTAACTCGGTCTAGCTATAATCCTATGAGTCTATAACCTATAAAATAGTGTATAATTATTTAAGATAGATATATTTAAATCTCCCTTCTATGTCACTTGGGAATTATAAATACAGACTATATTTAATTATTAATGTATCTCGCCTAAAGCCACCTTTCTTGTTAATAATTGAATGTTATAATTATGAAGTATAAATTATATTGTTTATGGAAGGGACCATTAGGACTTTCAAGTTTCGTCCGTCAAGTCGGTTCAAAGTACTATCTTTTGGCTAAATAAATGTGTCAATATTTTTGTTACTTCAAGGTGTATGTATCATTTTTCGAAAATTAAAAGGGCAGAGATAAAAACTTGTTTTTATAATTTCAAAATGTTCAGATCTTATTTATTTTTGGTTCAACTTGATCCTTCTTAAGTAACTTCATACCGAGATAACCTAATTGAGATTTAACTTCTACTACTAAATATAGTTTGGCCACAACAAAAAAATTAGGATGTATTCAAATCACGGACAGAGCAGCCAAATGTTGTAATACCCAAATCATGTGGTAGAGCAGCTTGGTGATGTAAATCCGACGCATGAGGGCTCCCTTGGGGCCAAGAGTATAAAGCTTGCATGGACACTAGCTTGATTGGATAACCCGTGATTTACCTCCGCCCAGAGTTGAGGCACCAGTTTTGGATGGTCCAGAATATAGTCTGGTGTAAGTTGGGAAACCTGGGTATAAAAAAATAAAATAAAATTAGGATGTATTTCAACATAGTCGTAGCAGTGCATTATTGTATACAAAATTTACACTCCGTTTGATCCACATTCTTACAAAAATTCATTTTTCCAAAACTTAGTTTCAACCACATATTCTTCAATAAAATAATATTACACGCGAATCCAAAATTTTTCCTTATTTTTTAACCACATATTTTTCATCAAATCACTATTTAAAATGCATTCTCCACTCAATAATGTACATAATAAAAATGAAATATACTTCAACTATAGTCGTTAGCAATAAAAGTACAAATTTCGTTTTTAAATAAAGATATATTTTAACAGACAATGGTATTATGTGTTTATATTTGAGTTTAACTTGCTCAAAACCTAGGAAATCATAGCCGAAACACAGTCACCGACAAGTTATATATACAGGAATCTTAACACTAGGATTGAATGTAAATGAAGTATTTTCTTTTTTCTTAATGTGGGATTTCTTTTCCAATTCCATTATTAGGTCCAAAGGAAAAATAAAAAACAAAAATGTTTGTTTAGCTAAGAAAAAAGTGCAAAACGTAATTATTTTTCCTCTATAAAGCTATGTGTGTCGATTGCCCTTGCGATATTAGACTCCAACATAAAGTAACACGTGAAAATTAGAATTCGACTGGATTAACGTTGCAAAACAAAATGAGTGGAAATATTAGTTTACAAAAATGCCAACGCATCAGATAAAACACATTGTCGAATAAGTAGTTTTTTTATTGAAACTCACTTCAACTTGTATTCTCGACTTCATCAAATTTAGTATTTGTTTATTGATATTGGATAAGACTGCATCTTCTCATATATGTACAATTTTAAAGCAACCACTTTCCTTTAATTTTTGATTTCTCGACCCTATCCCCAACCAAATGAAGAGAAGAAAAAAGAGCAAAAACAATGTTCCTTTCCCCCTTTTTTTACAAGTTTTCAATATAAAGTCAAAAATTACGTCTCCATTATCTGGAATATTTAAAACTGGCAATACTTGTTGTTTTAATTAAACCACCCACAGTTAAAAGTATAATCAACTAGGTTGCCACCTACGAATTTCATATATAATACAGAACAATCCCAGAATGTTAGAAGTGAAAAAAACAGATTTTGATTTCTTTGATCTTTAAAAATGTGTATTACTGTGTTTATGTGGCAAGCACACCCAATATACCCCTTTCTTCTTTTGCTCAACAGAGATGAATACCATAACAGGTAAGCTTTTCTGCACCCTTTCGTCGAGTTTTAGTAATTTTAGCTTATTTTTTTTCCTCGGCACTGCTAAATTGTTACTTTTGCAGGCCAACGAAGCCGGTGGGATGGTGGGAAGGTAGTATGATATTGGGAGGGAAAGATGAAGTTGCAGGTGGAACATGGCTGGCCTGCTCAAGAGAAGGAAAAGTGGCTTTTCTAACAAATGTATTGGAGCTTCATACCCTCCCTGGGGCTAAAAGCAGAGGAGATCTCCCTATCCATTTCCTCGAGGTACCTTTATTCTTCGACCTGATATAGAATCTCAAAGCTATAGTTTTCGTTTCTAGCCATGCAATATATGTCATTTCTTGCTTGCGGTTGTGCTACATGTACATAATAGGCTTACATAATAGTTTATATAAACATGATGTTGTGAGATATGATTGGATCGGAATTTCTTCAACTAAATTAGAAAAACTTATTAACTCTCTTTTTGACCCTTCATCTGTATGTAAACTATTACGTAATTGCTTATATACAAGTAGCATTATTCTCTTGTTATAGAGCCCGTTAAGGGTTGTGGATGCTGTTGTATGAATATCCTATGACTCGTGGAAATAGTTCAACACATTGTTGTATATAGGACGACATCATTTTAAGTTTGTTTGTGTATGTTGGAGTACAGAGCGAAAAGAGTCCAATGGCATTTGCTGAGGAGTTGATTAAAGCTGCACATCTGTATAATGGATTTAATCTGATAGTGGCTGATCTTCCATCAAAATCCATGTTTTATGTATCAAACAGACCAAATGGAGAACCTATTTCAGTTCAGGAAGTTCGTCCAGGGATTCATGTGCTCTCAAATGCAAAGTTGAACTCTCCTTGGCCAAAGGTTAGAATTTGGAAGCCTAATGTAACTCATTACATTGTATACAAGCTAAGCCAAACTAGACTTGTGCATGTTTTCTCACGTCTCCTCCTCACATTAAGAGAAAAGATAAAATCTTATACATTGTACTGTCAAGTTCGTAGTACTGCATTCCAAACAGACCCTACAAGTTAAATCGAAAGTGATTTTTCTGTTCACATATCCCATAAGAAACAGATGCATTTTCATCTCATACCCCTCAATTTTGTTCCTACCGTTTCTCCAGGCTTTGCGCTTGGAACGGAAATTCAAAATGCTGCTTGATCGATATGGTGAAGGTGAAATATATGTTAAGGAGATGGTCGAAAAACTCATGAAGGACACAGTAAAAGCCGACGAAAGCAAATTGCCTAATATTTGTTCCCTTGACTGGGAGTTCAATTTAAGCTCCATCTTTGTTCAAATAGACACCCCACTGGTAAGTACTTTTCATATGCAATAAGCTAATTTGAAATGTTAAAGAATTTCATATTATATTCTTTTTCTACTCGGACAGGGTATGTATGGCACTAGAAGCACTGCTGCATTGACTGTAAATGCAAATGGTGAAGCCAGTTTTTATGAGATTTATCTTGAGAGGAACATTTGGAAAGAGAAAACCCAGAATTTCTACATTGAGAAGTTGTAATTCTTAACGGGCCGGTAAATTTCCAGATATTCACATAAATCTTTTGTTAAGGTGTGCAAATCATATAGAATTACAAGGTAAAGAAGGCATAGGTGCAACCGTTGTACTGCAATTCTATTTTGAAATATATAAATAAAAAGTTCAGCTTGATTATCCACCCTCCATGAACTTGATAAACTTCCACTGCTGGCAGTTTCGCTTGCTAACGATCGAGGCTGGTGAAAAATAAAAAAGGGATCAATAAAATAAAAGTGATAAAATGATAATTGAAAGGGCGACCCTTGAGATAATAGATATCAGAGTGGCCTCCTTTCAATACAAAGCAATAATATCCCAGTCTTGGGGAAAAAAAGCTGGCTTCTTTCTTAAAATGAAGCCAAGCCCCTATTTGACAACCATTATTCGGGAAAAATTGAGTTTTGAATAGTGATTTTTAGGAGAACGTACGGTTAAAAAGTAAGAAAAAGTTTTGGGTTTACGTGCAGAATATTTTATTGTGTGAATATATAGTTGAAAATGAGTACGTAAATTTTTTTATTTTTTTTGAAAATAATGATCGTCAAACATGGGCGAATGGTTATCTTAACCGGAAAGAATATGTTTACAAAACAAAGAGTGAAGAAGTAAACCTCTACTTCATTAGTTTCATCAATCTTATAGTGAAGAAATAAACCCCCGCTTCATTGGTGTCATCAATCTTGTGACCTTAGGGAAGTTCAGCTTATCACAGAACAAGGGGTTTTCCTCTATAAGCTTCTTAACATCAGCACATATTTTAGCCCTAGCAGACTGTCTCTCGATAATAGGTTGTGATCTCTGCATGTCATTGTATCAGATCAAATTTCTTGAAAATAAATCAACGAAAACTCTCATAAATGAAAATAATTAGGATTAAGTTACTTTGCCAGAAGGATTTGATAGAAAACTTAACATAATTGCACGATGCAGTAGACGACTAGATGGAAAAGCTGACTACATTTTAAACTGCCCAATGATACAATTATGACTTCATGAAGTCACACCTCCATATAAAAAGCTGACAAAATATTTAAATATATCAAGAAACAAACTTACCTGTCCAGGGCTTCTAGGCACTTCTGCCTTCTGATCTCATAGAATATTTTCGTAGAATAACTGTTCTCATTGATCCCAACAAATGCCAATAAGTACTTCAATCATGCTACCTGTACACGCCCACATGGGCCTTGTACTTATAGGGACGCCACTTTTCAACCTAAGTACTTTTCCACCTTGTCCCAATCCCCATTTGTTACGATATCCTCGAAGTAGCTCATAGTGAAGAAGATTCCTGATTCTTCTCCCAATCTTAGTTTCACAAAGAATAACACCATTAATCAAACAATTAAATAAAAAAAAACCTCTAGAGAGCTTTCCAGAAAATAAACATATTAAAAAGTATTCAACATGCAGATCCAGAAATTCATCTGAAATAGGGTGGACGCTCGAGCGGCCATCCAACGGCTACCCGATATATTGGGAAAAAAATTTCCAATGAAGTTAGATTGTCATGGTTCGCCGAATGCTGACTCCCGCCACTGAACACAAAAAATATATAATTATTATAAACAATTTTGGAATTTTTGAACACCCAATTGAATAATTATTTTTTCTTGTTTTAGAGAAAGGAAAATCAAATAAAGGTATAACGGGGAAATGGACAAAAGTTGAGTTAGCACAGAGTTTTTGTGAATCAAGGACAATGGTGCAATGAAAATAATAGGCATGGGCTTAATTGTCAAGAAAAATAGAATGATCACCTGTTTGCTACGAAATGGACGGTTGGGACTAACATTGCAATTTTCCCAATTAAATATGCTAATTAGTCAAGTAAAGAACAGTTAACATACGAATAAATAACGATTATACAAGAAAATTAGATTTCAAATAAAACCTAATAGAATGAAAACAGAAAAAAATACAATAAAATGAAAAAGAAATTGATTAAAATACATTAAAAATTCAATTACTTAAATGCGAGCAGTTTTCGCCAAATTGGAATCCTCCAGAAATTGAAGAACCGAAAACAAATCCTCTTTGCTAACATTGCAATAAGTTCCTCTCAAATTCTCTTGTCGAACATCTCCTTCGGCTTTCTTTTGGCAAGTAAACCGAACAGGGGACATGATTAACCTCATTCGCTACACCTACAAAAAAACATAAACTTGATAAACGAAATTCTAAAAATGAATAATATGTTATAGGAGTTGAAAGTCAACCAAAATTTTACCGATAACCCTTTTATGCTAATAAGCCCTCATAAAGCTTATGGTCCATTTGGAATGATTTTTGAAAAGTTGAAATGAAATTTTGATATCCAAAAGTTGTTTTTAGACCCGTTTGACGAATTTTATAAAAGTAAATCTTTTTGTTCGGACCTATTTGACAGGACTTTTGTTTTCAATTATGGTATTTGTACAATCATACTTGACAATAATGGTTGATAATGCTGGTGTTGTCTAAATTCGGACAATTGATTTATAATTTTTGAAATGTCAACCAATATTATCAAACTAGATTGTATATGGAGCATGATTCTTTTGCTTTTACATTTTATTTCTTTTGTATAATCTATACTGTATATGTTCAGTGGTGAATGGGAAAGAACAATACAGTTATTTGAAGAGAAGATAAAAGAATAATGCTCCTTGGACAGACTCAAGAACAGCGGAAGGGTGATGTGAATCCTATTATGTTTTTCTATCAAGAAAAGCTGGCTTCTTTCTTAAAAAGAAGCCAAGCCCTTATTTGACAACTGCTATTTGGAAAAAATAGAATTTTGAATAATGATTTTTAAGAGAATGTATAGTTAAAAGTAAGAAAGTTTTGGATTTACGTGCAGAATATTTTATTGTGTGAATATGTGGTTGAAAATGAATATATAGAAAAAAGAATTTGAAAATGATGGTTGTCAAACATGGGCGAATGCTTATCTTAACCGGAAAGAATATGTATACGAAACAAAGAGTGAAGAAGTAAACCTCTACTTCATTAGTGTCATCAATCTTATAGTGAAGAAATAAACCTCTGCTTCATTGGTGTCATCAATCTTGTGACCTTAGGGAAGTTCTGCTTATTACAGAACACGGGGTTTTCCTCTATAAGCTTCTTTACATCAGCAAACATCGTAGCCCTTGCAGACTGTGTCTCCATAATTGGATAATAGTTAGTGATCTCTGCATGTCATTGTATCAAATCAACCTTCTTGAAAACTCTCATAAATGAAAATAATTATGATAAAGGTACTTTACCAGAAGGATTTGACAGAAAGCTTGACATAATTACATGAGGCAGTAGATGACTAGATAGAAAAACGAACTGTATTTTAAATTGTCCAATGATAAAATGTCATGTGATATTATGTCAAGCAATTATGACTTCACGAAGTCACGCCTCCATATGACTTTCATGAAAAAAAGCTGACATAATATTCAAAGATATCAAGAAACAAACTTACCCGTCCAGGGCTTCTAGGCACTTCTGTCTTATGATCTTTTAGAATATTTTCGTAGAATAACTGTTATCATCGATCCCAGTGAAAGCCAATAAGTACCTTTCCACCTTGTCCCAAGAACAATGCTTCCTGTACAGAAGCATTGTTCACAGGGGGCATACAGGCCCCTCACAAAGGGAGGCCCCTCACAAAGGGGGGCCCCATACTATTTTTTTGTGAACAAAGCATTGTTCTTGTTGCAATCCCCATTTGTTACGATGTCCTCAAAGTTGCTCATATTGATGAAGATTTCTTATTCTTCTCTCAATCCTAGTTTCACAAAGAATTAAACCATTAATCAAACAATTAAATAAAAAATCTCTAGAGCGCTTTCCGGAAAATAAACATATTAAAAAGTATTCAACACGCAGATCAAAAATTCATTTGAACTAGGGCGGACGCTCGAGCGACCGTCCAGGGACTACCCGATATATTGGGGAAAAAAAAAGTTCCGATGGACTCAGCGTGAGCGACCGCCATGGCTCACTGAATGCTGACTCTACCACTGAACACGAAAAATATATAATTATTATAAACAAATTTGGAATTTTTGAACACCCAATTGAATAATTATTTTTTCTTGTTTTAGAGAAAGGAAAATCAAATAAAGGTATAACAAGGAAATGGACAAAAGTTGAGTTAGCACAGAGTTTTTGTGAATCAAGGACAATGGTGCAATGAAAATAATAGGCTTGGGCTTAATTGTCAAGAAAAATAGAATGATCACCTGTTTGCTACGAAATGGACGGTTGGGACTAACTTTGCAATTTTCCCAATTAAATATGCTAATTAGTCAAGTAAAGAACAGTTAACTTACGAATAAATAACGATTATACAAGAAAATTAGATTTCAAATAAAACCTAATAGCATGAAAACAGAAAAAAAATACAATAAAATGAAAAAGAAATTGATTAAAATACATTAAAAATTCAATTACTTACATGCGAGCAGTTTTCGTCAAATTGGAATCCTCCAGAAATTGAAGAACCGAAAACAAATCCTCTTTGCTAACATTGCAATACGTTCCTCTCAAATTCTCTTGTCGAACATCTCCTTCGGCTTTCTTTTGGCAAGTAAACCGAACAGGGGACATGATTAACCTCATTCACTACACCTACAAAAAAACATAAACTGCATAAACGAAATTCTAAACTTCTTATGCCTGAACCAGGGACGGACCTAGAATAATATGTTATGAGAGTTGAAAGTCAACCAAAATTTTACCGATAACCCTTTTATGCTAATAAGCCCTCGTAAAGCTTATGGTCCATTTGGAATGATTTTTGAAAAGTTGAAATGAAATTTTGATATCCAAAAATTGTTTTTAGACCCGTTTGACGAATTTTATAAATCTTTTTGTTAGGACCTATTTGACATGACTTTCGTTTTCAATTATGGTATTTGTACAATCATATTTGACAATAATGGTTGATAATGCTGGTGTTGTCAAAATTCAGGCAATTGATTTATAATTTTTGAAATGGATGAATGTGATATTGTCAAGTGTGAGATGTCAACCAATATTATCAAACTAGATTGTATATGGAGCATGATTCTTTTGCTTTTACATTTTACTTCTTTTGTATAATCTATACTGTATATGTTCAGTGGTGAATGGGAAAGAACAATACAGTTATTTGAAGAGAAGATAAAAGAATAATGCTCCTTGGACAGATTCAAGAACAGCGGAAGGGTGATGTGACAGATAATAATTGAGTGTTGTGTGTTTATTTTTTTCCAAACTGTTCAATCATGTGTTGACATGTCTCTCCTCATTTCTGAATCTAGTTTTGAACATGTTTGTGTAGCTTAACTGAAAAAGAATAATGCTTCTTGGGTAGGCGGTACTAATATAGGGGTTGCTAGGAAAGGTGATACTAATAATTCATTTGGTGTAGAGGAATCACCAACCCAATCAAGTTGCTCTCCTCGCTCACACTGATGTACTACTTTTTGTCGGTTCCACGTATCAAAAGTAAGTAGCATGAATAATATAAAATTTAGTCTCTTGATGACTTTTATGTAAATATTTAATGCTTAGATTTATTTTCCTTGTTGAGAAATTTCAATACCATTTCTTCTATTATGAAAATGCTGTTGACAAAGTTTGATTTCCATCATGTGTGAAATAATTTCTTTAAATTAGAGCTCCAACTATTCCCATGTGATGTAGGCGACATGAGATGCAATTTTACCAAAGCTCTTTCCCTTTCTTAGTTCATTGTGAGGGTTGTTATGTTAGAGTTATTCATTTGTTTCCTTTTTTTTTTTAAATGTACAAGATATGATGTAATTTACGAGAATCCAACACATTTAACGCACTAACATCATGTTCAAAAAAACCCCAACCCGTGCATTGCTCGGGCAAAGACTAGTCTTGGAGAAAAGGAGAACAACGCCAGTGAGCTAGTTCTTCTATTTGTTAATTGTTACCAAGCCTCGTTGGAAAAGAGTTTTTGATAATAGATTTTATGAAAAATAATTTTTTTGAAAAATATATGGTTAAAAAATAGAGAATTTTTTTTGAATTTATGTGCAAAATAATTTTATTTAAAGAATATGTAATTAAAAATGAATTTTTGTTCATGGGATGAAACAAGGGCGAAAATTAAGGCCGCCTACTACTTTTCTAACTCATATAAGGTATGTTTGAGCCCCATTTTTAGTGTAGAATGCATTTTAAAACTGTAGATTAATAAAACATGTGTTGTTAAAAATGAAGGAAATTTTTTTGAATTACGTGTAATATTATTTTATTAAACAATGTAATTAAAAAAAAGATTAAAAATATATTTCGAAAATAATGGAGATCGATCCAGGACATAAAGTATTTCTCGTCTTTCTCTAGGGAGTGGTCTCATTGATAGAACAATGTTCATGTTTTGTACCTAGAATTACTAGCTAGGCCCTAGGGGGTAGGCATGGGAAATTAGCACGGAAAGGATAGAGCGCGGGTCTGTAGTGAGGAATAGACCTTCATCATCTTATTTACTTATTTATTTTGCATGTTAAATACGATTTATTACAGGAAAACCCTCTACATTTCATGAAGAATTTAGGACACCGAGGAAGGCTACATGTTCTTCTCGCACATTTGAATGACCGAACAATATTTTTTATTTACATCACTGATTATGGATACGTCGATTCCTCCTCTAATAGCTAACTTTGGAGACGAGTTGGTTTAAAATAGTATCAATGCAAACATATTCTTCACCACTTCCTAGCATGAAGTGGCACTGTAGTAAAAGTGTATCTGACTCATATTTCTTTCCCCATCGTTTCTTCTTGCAAACAGGAATATACTTGGACAACTAAAGGAGAAAAAAATTCGGTCTTCCATTATTACCGGACAATTTAGGGAGGCCCTCGTAAAGGGGTTAAAATAATAATATGATCCAACATTTCGTCGTGCTTAAAACCTGTTTTTTTTTTTGAAAAACTAATCACAAAAAGTAGTGGACCCCCGATTCTTATAAGCACACCCAAACAGTTCCTAATAATGATAAGAAGTTTTGAACTTTCATTGTTTAGTTCCAATGTCAACCGATGACCAGTAACAAGAAGACTAGAATTGCAAAACGGGGCATTCTCAGATGACAACTTCATTGTTTTCTGAGCTAAACAGCTCAGTGCATAACAGGTCAAGATTTTATATGAGATCAACAGTCTCATACAACAGATTCAACTTCGTCTGAGTTGACAGCTGCTCCATTTGGGGGGTCGTCTGACCGCAGCTGAGTGGATACATTGTCTATTGCAGAGTTGAGCTGTTCAATCTTCTCGGCCAGTTTCTGACGTTGCTTCTATGAATGGGACAGAATGCAAATGTTTCACAAAAGGAAAATGAGTAAGGAACATGCCTCTATGACATTGGTGTTATATCAATGATGAAGCAAATCAATGCATTTATTAAATATTTATTCGGCAAGAATTTATATAGATATTGCAGTTGTTGGTTATTACCAAGTTATTCCATAGTCTAGACTCTAGTTTGAAGATTCTATGAAAGAAAAAACAATTATCTTGACTCTACTGTATTCTCATTAGATGATACACACTAACTAATAATCCGCCCGGTGCTACATCATAGGCACACCTCTCTCATAAGAGAGAACATCGACCAGTCGACCTATAGTGGCCCTGGAGCCTGGATATCTTGGATTGCAGGATTCTCCATCCATATTTGGAAAAGTTCAAAGATGGCAAGAGGGTCCTTGATCTATCAATAGAGGGAGCGTAAAGGGGCTTTGTTTGACCATGAAGACTTGCGTATATCTTAAATAAACAGCCTTGAGAAATATTTGTATTGAACTACACCAAAATAGGCTAGTAGTTGAATCCAGTAGCAGCCATATACAGTTTGGAAGAGGTATTGTTGGATTGAGGTTTGAAGTTTTTATCACTTCATTTTTTATTTTCTTCTTTTCTTTTCTCCCAAGTTCAAACTCATGAATTAACCCTTTTCCAATCTCAGCAACTCAAAATATATCATGATATAGCCCCTGTTTGGTTTGGATAAAATATAGGATTTTTAGAAGATTTTGATTGAAGTTGGTGAAACGTATGGTAAAAAAGTTAATAAAAGTTGTGGGTCCCATAAAATGTATTATTGAAAATGAATTTGTAAAAAATTGAGTCAAAGAAGGCATAGTTTCAGTTGATGAGATTAGAAAGAGATTAAGAGCATATTTGATGTAGATTTTTTGAAAATAGATTTTGTGAAAAGTGATTTATTTGGAGAATATGGGATTAAAAATAGGGAATAATTATAGGTCCCTGTGCAAAATTATTTTATTGGAAGAATGTATGGTTGAAAATAAATTTGGAAAAAAAAACGAGTTTTAAAGAATCTATACGAAACGGTAGCTAAATTGTTAACATCGGAATCCATTAGAATCTAAGAGTCGGGTTGAGTAGATTCAAGACCCAATACATGCAATGCCACTTCAATAATAGTAGGATCAAACATATTAATGAAGTTACTATAGACAATCATGTCATCTACAAAACTAAAAGTAATTGTCATTCCATGTAATAAGTAATAACAAGATCCCAGCAAGGTTAAAAGGCTAGTTGTACAAGACAGCTATTAGATTTGCAATGCTCTATTTTGTTATTGGTATTAAAGGACACGATATCAATAAAATGAATGCAGTGATAGCTAAGCCCTTGTTTGTCTACCATTCTCCAAAAAATCATTTTTCTAAAACTCATTTTCAACCACACATTCTTGCTGTAGCATATTTTGCTTGTAAATCCAAAATTTTTTCCTACTTTTTAACAACACGTTATTCAAAAAATCACTATTTCAAAACTCCTTTTAATGGGCATCAAATAGGGGCTAGGTTTGATGTGTGAGCAAACTAAAATGGAAAAGATAAGAATGAACATATTCGCCAACGAGTGGAAGTTATTGATTGATGAGGACAAATTAAGGGAATGATGACTTAGGTGGTTAGGACGCAATTTGCATAGACCTAAAGAGGTTTATGTTCATAGAAGGTTAAAAGAGGGAGGGGCAAACCATAATTAAAAGGCTACAATGATCTAGGTGTTATCTTCCGACACATCTAAAAAGAACCAAACGAATTGGCAAAAAAAGGATTCGTGTAAGTATCCTAAATTTATTCGAAACAAAGTTTCTTTGTTGTTGTTTTCTTTTCTTTCTTTTTCTTTTTTTTGTTCGGATAGGAGGGAGTAAGAGGGGATTGTCTTTTGGCAATCTCTAGAGTAGCTACGGTGACTTCCACATATTTAGAAAACAATACAATTTGCAGGCTTTAGATGAAATTTTCACACAGCTGACATTTCTTGCATAAAAAATTCCTCTGAGTAGATATCAATTCAAATTACTAACAACTTATAATAGATAACAAAGCAGCTCTTGAATTCATTTGCATTTATAATTCAAAGCTGTGGAAAACCTCATGCAATAAAAACCAAGGTTCTTCTGTGTACCATATGCAATCTAACATGATGACATTATGTTTGGCTCAAACGTCAACAGGTGAAAATGAGCAAAAAGACAACTTATTTTGCCAGGTTGCTTATAAATGGGAAAATAATTTTTTTTATTGTATAGTATGACTAGCGGTCTAGCAAGCAAGCAAATATGCAGACATACAGGATCTCAACGCATAAAAACTAGTTTTTATCAGACGAAGATGCTGCATTGGAAGAGATTGCTCCCACAATTAATTATAAAAAGGCATACTTACCTCCAAAGCTTTTTCTTCATCATAGATGAATTTGGGCAATTTCTTCATGAGATCCTTTTTATCAGCACCAGCTAAAGCCTTGCTGATCTGTGAAAAAGTGAAGAGACCCGCTGAATAATGTTCTATACAACAGTTTATTTAGATTCCTCCTCAAAGATGCAGCAATCAAGCATTGCAGTGAGACAGAATGAAATCTAGTGAAGCAAAAAATTGATGTCTAAGATAAGTTTTCAAGATTACAAGAGAGACCTTCATGCTAAAATAATTGTATCTATTAGTAATTGTTTGATTGTTATCACCTGAGGTGCATACACACAACTGAGGGTTCCAACAACTAATCCACCCAAAACAAATCCGCCAATAAAGATGCCTGCACTACTTGGCCTTCCACCATCACTGCCATCAAACACACAAGAGAGGGAGATATCTTTAGAAGCTTATTTTGATATACATTGAAAATGTATAGGTATAGGTGAGAATCATAATCTTCTCTGTCATAATTTATTTCACTTTCACATTGATCTCTATGCCATTGAAAGTTCACATTATTACAAGTGATAGGCAGCCTTTGATCCTTCATCATTGATCAGGACCAGATAAAGAAAACTGAGATTTGTATAAAGTTATAGTTGAAGCTGTTGGGTTCAAAACAAATAACAAAAAGCTGAGAGCAGTCTATATCTTGAGCATGATGAAGACAATACCTATAACTTGCTTGAATCACAAGTGCCCTCTTGGAGCAAGATACTTTCCTTGAGCCTTTAAGACTGAAGGACAGGTTGGTGGGGACCAGACTTGGACTACATTGGTCTACTGACTTCAGAGAAGAACCTAGCACAAGGAAAACAAGTTTAGCCATGCCAAAAGTACACAATGATGAGCGGCAAAAGATCCAGGCAAAGTAAACTATTCAGGGAGCATGCTTGAAATAATAGCAACATCTGCAGCAAAATTTTACAAATATAAGCAAAATTATCTTTTCAAATTTCAAGTATATTGGTTAGTAATAGTAAGTAATTGACGTTTCCATACCCCAAGATTTACTGACAATATAAAAGATTAAATACAAAATATCTTTACGCTGACAAGAAAAGGAGTTCTCAGTCAGGTCAGCATTGTAATTTTGGGTTTCATTTGTTACAAACATGCAAAAAGAAAAAGGAGAAAAAGAAAGATAAGGGATTTTTTGGGATCATTTTGGAACCTTATAATCAATTTCCAACAAATTGATTAATCCAGTTTTCAAAAGCTTTTTGACTCGTACCGGCAAATATTGCTGAAGATAGAAATGCATATATATATATAAGCACCAGTGTCAAGACTTATTAATTCACTGAAGATAGAAATGCTTTAAATACTTATTTCAGATTCTTCCTAATTCATGCTTTTCAGCCACAGTTCTGAAAAGGATCCACAACAAGAAAGAATTTTTCCTGACTTCAAGAATTCTGGGTAAATATGAAAACATTTATAATTATTCTACTATAGATTTGATATTTGCACTTTCCACCTTAATATTTTTATTTCCATATTTCCTGCTTATAACAAATTCTACAGGACAAAACCGGTCCAAACCAACAAAATGCAGTAAATCTAGTAGAAGTACAAAGCAAGGTGCACAAATTGACTCAAGCACCAAAGCACGTCACTTGGAAGTAACAGTAAGAATGTGTCACCCCAAGGACATGAGGCACTCAAAATATTCAGGATTACCCTGCGTATGAATCAGATAACATTGGACTTCTTCAACAAGCAAGATAGTGGGATCTTGTATATTATGACCTCAATACTGAACATCTTATGAACAAATATCAAAAGTTCATCCAGATCACACTCACTATCGGTAACAAATGCCTATGGAGAACTAGTTTGAGGAACTTAATTATTATCTTGGTGTTTTATGTTCATCAAAAACTACACTAGTTGGCATCCAACTCATTCGCTGTTCCTAATTGCAAGATTTTTAATATTTAGGTTCTTTTACTGAATTAATTGGACTGTCCCACCCCAAACAAAGAAATTGGTTCTGATGGCGTTGATTTTAGAAAACAAGAACCCAAGTTATTGGTTTGACATCTATACACAGTGATTATAGTAAATGTAATGAGAATCGGACCAATATAATAGGCTATGAAAATTTCTTCTTTCTTTTTCCTATTTCATAATAAAGCAGCAAACAATAGAATCCCATTCAATAAACACTAAGTAGATTTAATAAATAGACACTAAGGGGTACGAAACTCAACAGAAAAATCTTTCCCAGCTAAAATAAGAAACAAAGATTAGAATCTTTAAGTTGCCAACTAAAGCTTAATTTAAATATTTGTGATCCACGACTCAGATTTTGAACATTAACAGTTTCTTTTTCGGCAATCTTCAAATCCCTCTTCGTTTCTCATAGAAACTACGCCGTAAAAAGGCAAAAACAAGCATTTTGATTTGTGCATTTTAGAACCAAATGAAACGAATAATTAGAGACAAATTAAATAAAAAAAAATATATCAAAAGATTTACCCGATGATTTGGATATCACAAATGAATTCGATAGGGCTGCCATTTTGTAATGATTTCAGATAGAAATTTTGTGCGTAACGGCGTAGTGAGCAAGGATTACGCAAGGATTGAAACAATAAAATAGAATGAAATTTGGTTTGTTTACTTATAATTTTGTTTCTTTCCACTTAGGGCGATGAGATCGAGGATCACCACGTGGCATGTAAAAATTAGAGCAGGAGAAGACGCTTTATTAAAAGGGTGTTTTGTGGGAATTAAAATTAAATTTTTAGTAAATTATGATAAAAAATTTTGAAATGTATAGTTGAAAAGTTGTGGGATCCATAAAAGATGTGGTTAATATTAATTGATTGACTTTAATTTGGATTAAAATCAAATAGTTATGAGATTCATGAAAGATGTGGTTAATATTAATTGTTTGACTTTAACTTGGATTAAAATCAGCTTTTAATCTGAACCAAACAGGGGCATTTNGGATTAAAATCAAATTTTAATCCGGATCAAACATGAACTAAGCTTGTATTAGCCGTAGTTCAATAATCTCCACGATGTTTATATTTTGATTTTTTATTTTTATTTTTCTACAACCAATTTGCTTCAAGAAAAATACGTGATGAGATTTTTATATAATTTTTTTTTTAAATGATCTAAAATAAACTTTTATCAAATAATCATTGCACTTCTACTATCCAAATTACATCATGAAATATAGATAAGAGTTTTGATTTTCTCTATTTCTTTCTTTTTATCTCTAATTTACAAGATTGTATAAAATATCATGTTTTTCATTGAAAATTAGTGAACTACATAGTCGAAGTTTTCTGGATATCAAAAATATGAAATATCTTCAATATCTGTAATTTGCTTGAAATTTTATAAATGTCGTACATAAAACCCAAGTAAATTCATTTGAGGTTCGAACCCAAGTTTATTTACAAATAATTGTATTGAATTTTTTCGTATTTGAAGTATATCATGATCTATAATTTTTTATTTAAAAATGTTAAATATTTTGATTTTAAATATTGCTTCAAGAATATTTATAAATATCAATATTCTTGAATTTTTTTTTTTTTTGAGTAATCACAACCAACCAATTGGGCAACTTGTTTAATTGGTACCAAATTTCAACTTAAATCTCTCACAAGGTAGAGTCATTGGTTCGAATTCTAGGTAATGCACATAAAAAACTATGAGGGGTCGGATGGGCTTAGCAAATGGATAGTATGTATGATATAACGACTTAAGTACAGAAGTTGAATCGTTGCAAAAGTGGATGCAGTAATTAAGTGGAATAGACCAGTTAATGCGAGCGACTTTCGGAGATTTCTAGGTTTAGCTAGCTATTATAGGATATTCATTGAAGGCTTATCTAAGATAGTTGGACCAATGACTCAATTAACTCAAAACAGAGTAAAATTTCAATGGTCGAATACGTGTGAACATAGCTTCCAAGAATTAAAATTACCATTTGTCGTTGTACCAGTGTGTTAACAATTCCGAATGTATCTAAACAATGCTTAGTATGTGTCTTAATATAGCATAGAAAGGTGGTTGCCTATATTTCAAGGCAATTAAAATAACATGAGCAAAATTACATGTCTCATACTTTGAACTTGCTGCAGTGGTTCACGCATTGAAGTTGTAGCGGCACTATCGTATGGAAGCAAGTGTAAGTAGGGGTGTCCAAAAATTCCGAACCGAACCGAACCCGAATCGAACCGAACCGAGCGGTTCTTCATAAATTAAATACCCGAACGGGTACCCGAATCGAGAACCGATGGGTTTGGGTCGGGTCTCGGGTCTAGACCAAGAATCGAAGAACCGAACAAGAATCGAAACTAAATAATTTTTTTATTTTTTATATTGAATTAATTAAATTATTTTATTTTTTTAAAACAAATTAGCAAATTATTTAAAAAAATCAGATTATTTCATAATTTTAATTTTAAAGCCCAAATCATTTTTAAAACCCATTAGCCCATTTTAATTCGAAGCAAATGAATATACTTTATGTAGTGTTGCTGTAATATTAATATCTACTTTTTGGTATTTGTATGCATTGAATTAATTTTATTGGACGGCTAATTATTTATACGTTTTTTTAATTGGGCTACGTTAATTTGTAAAAGTTACGAATGAAATATCATTAGTTGTATTTATATAGTGTTACTGTAAATATTAAAAAAATTAATTATGGTACGGAATCGAACGGACCCGAACCGAACGGAACCGAACCCCGAACGGTCCCATAATTATTTTTGGACCCGACGGGTCCATTTATTAAATACCCGAAAGTTTTGGGTCAGTTCGGGTCTCTTCAGAATCGAATCGAACCGACCCACGGACAGCCTTAAGTGTAAGATCTATATAGATCATAAGAGTCCCAAATATTTCTATTCAAAAGGAATAAAATATGAGACAAGTAAGATGATTAGAGTTAATAAAGGACTATAATTACTTCACCATTCTGGTAAAACTAATGTTGTTGTAGATGCATAAGTCATTGACATTTTTGGTGCCAAATCAAGATCGATGGTTAAAGATTTCAAGAAGATGAAAATTGAGGTTGTTTTTCTTTTAAAATCGGAAAATTGCAAAATTAATTGATTTTTTTTTTAAAATTCCAAAATGATTTTTGAAATGTGTACTTGTCTGAATTAGATGTTTTTTCAACGATGAATTCTTCTTCAAAGTTGTGAAATTCCTGGAAATTGTAAGATGAAGCTTTGAAATTCGCTTTTTAACTATATGCTTATCCATGTAAGATTGTATTCCATTGCATAAGAACTTAGCTCTTCTTAGATATTTGATTTACATTTGGATTTGATTTTGTAATGGAGTGATGATTAATCATTTTGAATCAACATCAATTTGCACAACCATATCTTTATTTTCTTTAGAATGAACTAGTGATAGTGAAGGTTAAACAATTAATGGTTTGGGATTGGTATGTAAAATCACAAGTATAATTGGTTACCGTGAAGAAGTAAGAATTAGGCAATAGGCATTGACTATTGTCTAACGCTCTAATGGAAATGCCATTAACCCCTGTTTGGTAAGCATTTTTTTATCGAATTATAATGAAAAATGTGAATGTTATATAGTGAAGGGAACATGGGTTGCAGCCTTTGTTGATTGCTTTCTTACAAATCAATTAAATTTTTTGAAGAAAATACCATTTTGCCCCTTAATTGTAGCATTCAATCTATTAAAGCGAGGCATTTTGGAGATTTACGTATAGAAAAAAGACATCTGCTTTTGAGATTGTCAAAAATAGCGGCTAGAGTAACTGCAAATTATTGTTACAATATTCGATTTTTTTAATAAAATATGGAAAGAATGGTGCGCAAACAGGCGCTTGGTAATAACATATCACTAGCTCTCTTACCTTTCAGTCTATTTTTAGCTCACTTATACCAATTTGTAGGAAGTTGAAAAGGACTGGGAGTTGTTAGAATTATTGTTCAAAATTAAATTTGGGTCTAACGAAATGGATGAAATATGATAAACTCGACTCAAATGAGATGAAATGGATTTGGAATCAAAATTGAAAAATTCGAGTTTTTACCACGTGTACATAGGCTATTCAACCATGTGTACACATGGTTTGAGCCTGCAGAAACAGAAGCAAAAAATGCTTCTACCTACGTTCGCATGGATTATACTATGCGTACGTATAGGCTAAAATTTGTTTGATTCTTGGTGGCTTTTTATGAAAATACTCTACTTTTAGTGTTATTATGTCATTATTTCGTGGATGGTGAATTGAAATCTATAAATAAGTGACAGATTTCAATTACAAACATAACAAATCAACAATCAAATCCATATTATAGTGTTATTAAATCCAATCATTTACATATTCAAACATTCAAAGTGTTCTTTAAGTATTGGAAGATAAATGCAAGTGCTTAAATATTTTCTTCTTCAAGACTTGATCAATCTTACAAACCATTTGACAAGAGTCCCTTTAAGTACCAATTAAATCCTAGAGAGGTAAATATTGTTTGAGAACAACGATCTTGTATTTGAGTCATTCGACCATATTTAGCGTTCTTGATTCTTTCTTTTTGTTATCATTTCCATTCCCTCGAAGGATAATATTCAAACAATCTCAAGGGTTAGTTTATAGTAGAGAATGAAACTACCATGGAGACGATTAAGTTGATGAATCAAGACCTCGTTCGTTTGGATTGTTTTGATGAGACAAATTTTATTAGGTGGCAAGACAAGTTAAAGTTTCTCCTAACGGCATTGAAGATCTTCTACATTTTTCATCCAGAATTGGCACCGCTTGCAGATCTAACGGTTGAAGATGTCGAAGCCGTAAAGATGGAGAGACAAAAGTGTCAAGAGAATGAACTTATATGCCGCGATCATATTCTTAATGCTCTATCCAACGTATTGTAAGATCTCTACACAAATATATCATCAGCAATAGACATATGGGATGCATTGGAAAAAATATATATAGTCAAAGAAGAAGGTACAAAGAAATTTCTCATATCAAGATATTTTGATTTCAAATTCATTGATAACATTCCCTTTCTTCCCCAAGTACATGAGTTACAAGTTCTTGTCAACAAGTTGAAGGAGGTCAAAATTGAAATTTCGGAATCTTTCCAAGTGGGAGCAATCATTGTGAAACTCCCACGAACTTTGAAATGATATCAGAAGAAAATCATGTATAGTTTCGAAAATTACTCTATGGAAAAAGTCAGAAACATTTTCAAATTAAGGAAAAGTCAAGGGCAAGAGATAATGATGACAATTCTTATTAAGGCACTTCAAACGCCAATGTTGTGGAGAAGACCGAACATTCAAACAATTCCAACAAGAGAAAGTCTTCTAAAAACTTTGACAAGTTTAAGAAGTTCAAGGGTGGTTGCTTTGTATGTGGAAAACCAGAACATTATTCAAAGGAATGTCGACATCAAAAGCAAAACAACTTCGAAGGAAAAGTAAACTCTATCAAAGAAGACAATATTGATCTAGGAACTTCATCAATTCCAAGAAGAAGGAGAATCTGGACATTATGCA